AATCAAGAGAAGCTTTTTGATTATTTCCCTTGTTAATGAACAACCTAGACAAACTCTTAAGATTTAATCCACCAACAGCATTAAACACTAGAGGGACCACCAATTCTAGCAAACGAATACACAAGCTCGATTCATTTAGACTAGGTTATATACCTTCATAACATAATCATAATCAACTATGTTACTTTACCACTAATATTAGAACGTTTAAACAATTACGGATTTAAAATTCTAAATGACAATTTATCAACCTGATAATTGAACAACGAGCCCTTTGCACAATCAATCAAGACAATAATTCTTAATAAAAACAGAAGATATATAAATAGAAAAGAAGTAAAAGAACAATGAAAATTATTTAGATCTCACAATCCTTGAAGAACCAAGACTTCAATTATCCTCCAATTGGAACAAAAGTATTTAGCTACTCATAATTGAAAGAAAACTAAAAGAAAATAAAGATGAACACTTAATGAAAACTTGATTAAAACTTGATGCCCTAGCTCCCATTTTATAAGGATTTTCCTATTCTAGATAAGGAAGTTTCCCTTAAAGAAAATCCCACAAAAATAGGAGTTTTAAATGCCCTCAACTTTTTCTAAAGATAAGAATAATTCAAAAGAGTCTTCCAGCCGTCATTAAACTCTTTTTCCTTTGTAAATTCATAACCTTAATTTAGGGTTGTACGAACTGGTAAGGCGTGCCCACGCCTTAACTGAAGACTTTTTATGCTGTAGTTCAGGATGAATAAGTCGTGCCCACGCCTTATACGAAAACCTCTTCTGGTCTTGCCAACTTCTTGAATTCCGATTTTTCCTCCTTAATTTGGGGATTTTGTGAAGATCATGGTAATCATTATATTTTGAACTTGTTTTATCCAAATCTTCAACCTAATCCACAAAATACGAAATATAATCAAAATCCATGATTTAATCAATTTTAATTATTCAAATATGAGGAAAATATCATAGAATATATGTCTAATATGCATCTTATCAAATTCCCCCACACTTAAACCAATTCTTGTCCTCAAGCATACAATAGTTCAAATTCATAACTCTTCTCAACATCAATCCTTCTTCTTCCTTTGCTCATCCTTCCACAATCAAAATTGTCATGCCTTAAAGACTCAAATCTAAACACAAGTATGGAACGAGCAATTCATAGAAGAAATTCTCATAAACCAACACACATGAATAATCACTCCATCAATCTTTTCGAAATCAAAATGTAGTAGGATCCAATACCCCATACATTGGATTCACTCAAATACGCTCGAAGTGTTTAGGGTGTCAATAAACTCTCAAGCCAAAACATAGAAAATTTTTACCATAGGCTTGCTAACATATCACATCCCCGCCACTAATCAATTAATTGAATGCATAAAAACCTCAGGGTCTTAAACATGGTGTAATGGGGCTTAGGTGAGGTTTGGTAGGAAATGAATTTGAGATGTTTTATTGAAGGAGTCATAAAAACGTATCCATATGGAACTCAATCTCAAATGTTCTCTTCAAGCCACGTAACATTTTTTCTTTTCTTTTTGCACAATCTTTTTTTGCACGATTTTTTTTCTCTTTCTTTTCCTTTTTTTGTTTTTTTCAATGAATGAGATTGCAACTTGAATCACTGTATTTCAACATCTTCCAATCTTCTCAAGATAATTTGAATTCTCATGTGAAGAAGCTCATACAATCCTCCAATTCAAGGTTCAAAAGAGGGGAAATTAACAAAAATGATTTGATATTTGCTTATATCATGGTTAATTTCAAACAAAAAGGCTGAGGCTCAAAATTGGATTTTTAAGGATGATAATCAGGGTAGGCTCTTTACGAAAGCTAAAAGTGGTTTCACCTAAATGTCCTTATCATTCTTGATGCATCCAATTCTAAAATGTGGTCTTCGACATGTATAGCAAAGCAAGTTCTAGAAAAATTAACTATGTATGGCAATCACTCAATCAAGAAATGGAGCATGCTAAAAATGAGTGCTCATTGGCCCAAAAACTCGCAAAAAGAGTAAAAATGTATCAAATCCCACACATTTTGCATTCAATCAGTCATCAAGGGTAATCAATCAGTGTGTAGAAAATAAGAATTCAACTACTCAAGCTAATCCCCTATTATGGTTCAACTTAATTCGATAATTCAAAATAATCCAAATCAGGTAAGGACAAACATCGAAAGAATATGTAATTTCGAAGAGAAAAATCACAAACAAGAGCTAAAGCATACTTGTTTTTTCTTCAAAAAATTGAAGCAAAATTATGTTCAAAGCAAAACCATATATGAAATACTCTCCCCCCACACATAATTCATACATTTTCCTCAATGTATCAAAAGTAGATGCTCAAAAAACATAAAAGAATAAGAGTAGAAAACTCCCCTGAAAATGTTGAGCATCAACCACGATATTTGTCACGAGCTAGGGGTGAAGGTGTTGTGTGTAGCCTGGGTTGATTCTCGTTCTAAGCGGATACGTGGGTTGGGTAGAGCGAGGAGGACGACTGGTGGCTCGCATTCTTCTGAAAGAGCATTTAAAATAAAGAAAAGATAAGTCACATTTATATTTAAAAAGTTTCCTTGAATCTTTCTTCCTAAACCAGAAGTGGTGTTGAGTTTAGATGTGGGCACGTCTTATACAAAAACATCTTCTGGATAGTGAGAGACTTTAGGAATAATTCTACTTTTGTAAGACGTTCCCACGGGTTACAAAAATTCATCTTCTGACCTAAAGAGGAAAACAAGATTAATTGTACTCCAAAAAATCAAGGAAAAAATAAAAATAAAATAAAAATAAAAAGAACGAAAATAGAAATTGAAAAGGAAAAAATGGGTTGCCTCCCAAGAGCGCATTTCTTTAACGTCTTTGGCTAGACGTTGTAGCTTCTCAATCATCCTAAGTTGGGTACTCCAAAATGGTTTGACCAACAATATGCACCTGATAACCTTCATAACAAGGTTTCAAACGATGATCATTGACCTTAAATATTTGACTTGTATCCAAACTTTGTATTTCAACAATAGAGAAATTTTTTCTCCACCCAATAGCTTCCTTGTACTCTCTAAGCATTCAAATCAACGTTTCTTCTTCTAAGCGAGAGAGTTTGTTGGGAATGATCACCAAAATAGTTTCCTCTTCTCCTAAATATACATGCTTCAGATGATTTGGCAAAGGCTTCATTTCCAATTTTGGTGCCTGCACAAGAGAAGGAAGAAGCTTGGTGTGAGAAAAAGGTGACTCAATATAAGATACATTAGACCTCATGGGTTTGACTGATTCTAGTTCTTGGATTGTATCTTGCAAATCAAGATCCAACACAGACTTTTTCATGATTCCCTGCAATCCTTCAGAAGTGAAATTCATGTTGTGTGTATCTTTCAACTTGTCATCTTCATTTTGATCAAAAGTTTCATGTGTTAAAGGGTCAATAACATCCATGAAAAAAATAGAGGACACATCACTAGGACATCTCATGGCATCATAAATATTGAATTTGATAATTTCACCATCAAATTCCATGGTAAGTGTACCATCATTTACATCAATGTTTGTCCTATCTGTTTTAAAAAATGGCCTTCCTAACAAAACTGATGTTGATTTAGAAGAATCATCTTCTTGCATATCAAACACATAAAAATCTGCAAGAAAAACCAATTCATTAACTTGCACCAAAACATCCTCTAAAACTCCCTTAGGATATACATTAGATCTATCAGCAAGTTGAATAATCACTCTTGTTACTTTCAAAGGACCAACATTCAGAGATGAGTAAATAGAAAGAGGCATGATATTTATTGAGGCTCCTAGATCTATCATTGCTCTCTCAATCCTAACATTACCAAGTTTACAAGGGATAGTAAACATACCTGGATCTTTGCACTTAGGGGGTAGTTTTTTCTGGAGGACAGCTGAAACATTCTCCCCCATACTTACCTTTTCATTACCCTTGATCTTTCTCTTGTTGGTACACAATTCTTTAAGAACCTTAGCATATCGAGGTACTTGTTTAATTGCATCAAGTAAAGGAATATTTACCTCAATCTTGTGAAATGTCTCAAGAATTTCTTTCTCTTATGCTTCTTTCTTGGATTTAGCGAATCTAGAGGGAAAATGAAGTTCTATGACAAATTCCTTCAATTTTTTTCTTTTGAGTCCTTTAGGTTGGTCTGTCTCAGTTTGAGGAGCAACAACTTCCTTTTTAGTTTCTTCCTCTAAGACTCTCTCATGTGCCAATGGACTAGGTTCCTTCAACTCATTTCCACTTCTCAATGTGATTGCACTAATGTTTTACTTTTGATTAATAATGGTTTGTGAAGGTAACTTACCTTGGGGTTCTAACCGATTCACAGAGGATGCCAATTGACTCACTTGATTCTCCAAATTTTGTATGTTCGTTCTTGTCTCTTACTGAAATTGTTGTGTATTAGTTGCAAGTGATTTGATAATTTCTTCTAGGGACATACCTGGCTTTGAAGAAGACTGCTCAGGTGGAAAACGCTGGAATTGTAATGGTCTTGGTCCATAGCTCAGGTTAGGATGATCCCTCCATCCTGTATTATAGGTATTTAAGTAAGGATCATAGGTATTTAAGTAAGGATCATACTTCTTTGTGGAGGATTGGGAAACCTTCCAACTGCATTGGCATACTCATGAGAATCATCTTGAAGTGTAGGGCACATGTCAGTTGGGTGATCGATCGCACCACATATCCCACAAGCTTTCACTTGCTGCGTTTTTCCTACAACTAGTTGTTGAACAAGAGAGGTGAGATGCGATAATTTATGTTCAATGGAAGACGAACCTACCTCATTCACCCTTCTTGGAGATGTGTCTTGCCTAAAGCCAAATTATTGTGAATGGCGGCCATGATAGAGATCAATTCCCTAGCATCCCAAGGAGTCTTATTCACTATGGTACCTCCACTAGTTGAATCCATCATTTTTCTCTCCATGGGTAGAAGTCCTTCATAGAAATATTGGATGAGAAGCTGCTCAAAAATCCCATGTTGAGGGCAGCTGGCACACATTCGTTTGAATCGTTCCCAATACTCATGAAAGGTCTCAGTATCTTTTTGTTTTATTCCACATATCTCACTTCAAATGTCAGTGGCTCTTGAAGCAGGGAAATATTTATCAAGAAACAATCTCACCATAACGGTCCAAGTAGTTATAGAACTAGGGGGTAAATAGAAGAGCCAATCTTTAGCTCTATCGGCTAGCGAGAATGGAAAAGCACGTAATTTGATCTGCTCTTCAGTCACTCCTTGTGGTCTCATACTTGAACATGCCACGTGGAATTCCTTTAAATGCTTATGAGGGTCTTCATTCTCAAGTCCATGATAAGTAGGCAACAAATGAATCAAACTAGATTTTAATTCAAAACCTACCTCCAAAGTGGGTAGTCAATGCAGAGCAGTTGTTGATTTACATTTGGTGCAGCCAATTCTCTTAGAGTTATTTCTCTGTTGGCCATTGTTCCTTCAATTTCAAAATCGCTGGATGAATCAACCAAGTTGAGTGCAGATTCCGATTCAGGGGATGAAGAATAAGAAGCTTGTTTGTTGCGCAAGTTAGTTTCCTTCCTTAACCTGCGAGCGGTCTTCTCGATTTTAGGATCGTATTGGAGTTCACCTGGACGAGAAGAATAAAGCATCAAAATACGTCTTAATGACACCAATCCCCAGCAACGACGCCAAAAAAATTGGTGGGTGTCGAATCCAACAAATAATAATACTTGCTTTTGGAAATATAAATTATAGTAGCGATAAGAAAGGTCGAATCCACAGGGATTGGGTAAACTTATTTTAATGAAAATTAAAGCAAATAAAAAGGGGTTTTGAAATTGGAAAAAGAAAAAGAAAAGGCAATTATAATCAACTAAGAATTTAGAGATATCAATATTAAGAAAATATCCAACTAAAGGTATAATTTCAGAATTGGTTCAGAGAATTGATCATAGATGCAATGATAAAATCTTCTACTTTTCACTAAATTGGTTATGGTTATTGAGAAGCTCTAACAACCTGTCTCTCCTTAGTTTCTTGATAATCAAGAGAAGCTCTTTGATTATTTCCTTTGTTAATGAACAACCCTAGACAAGCTCTTAAGATTTAATCCACCAACAGCATTAAACACTAGAGGGACCACCAATTCTAGCTAACGAATACACAAGCTCGATTCATTTAGACTAGGTTATATACCTTCATAACATAATAATAATCAACTATGTTACTTTACCACTAATATTAGAACGTTTAAACAATTACGGATTTAAAATTCTAAATGAAAATTTATCAACCTGATAATTGAACAACGGGCCCTTTGCACAATCAATCAAGACAATAATTCTTAATAAAAACAGAAGATATATAAATAGCAAAGAAGTAAAAGAACAATGAAAATTATTTAGATCTCACAATCCTTGAAGAACCAAGACTTCAATTATCCTCCTGTTGGAACAAAAGTATTTAGCTACTCATAATTGAAAGAAAACTAAAAGAAAACTTAATGAAAACTTGATTAAAACTTGATGCCCTAGCTCCCCTTTTATAAGGATTTCCCTACTCTAGATAAGGAAGTTTCCCTTAAAGAAAATCCCACAAAAATAGGAGTTTTAAATGCCCTCATCTTTTTCTAAAGATAAGAATAATTCAAAAGAGTCTTCCAACCGTCATTAAACTCTTTTTCCTTTGTAAATTCGTAACCCTAATTTAGGGTTGTACGGACTGGTAAGGCGCGCCCACGCCTTAACTGAAGACTTCTTCTGCGGTAGTTCAGGATGAATAAGTCGTGCCCACGCCTTATGCGAAAAACCACTTATGGTCTTGCCAACTTCTTGAATTCTGATTTTTCCTCCTTAATTTAGAGATTTTGTGAAGATCATGCTAATCATTAGATTTTGAACTTTTTTATCCAAATCTTCAACATAATCCACAAAATACGAAATATAATCAAAATCCATGATTAATATGAGGAAAATATCATAGAATATATGTCTAATATGCATCTTATCAAAGATGTATTGAAGGCGAAAACTACTGATACGTTATGGTTAAAGTTGGAGTAACCGTACATGATAAAATCTCTAACTAACATGATGCATCTAAAGCAGTGATTTCTCTCATCGGTTAATAAAAGGTTCATCGTTGATAGATCACTTAATCATTTATGGAGATTTCCTGGATTGGGAGGCTATAGAAGTTAGTTATGACGAATAAGATTTAAGGTCAATTTTGTTTTATTTTTTACTGTTTTTTATTCGATATTTAAGGATATTATTTTATATAGTTGCAAATATGTCATTGTTGATGAAGTTTATGATGTTTTATCCTTGTATGATAAGATGAAACATCTCATGATTGAACTCGATTTTATTTTCATGCAGAAGGTCTCTTTGTTCATGGGAGGGCACAAATAAAGTTTTAGTGGTGATGTTAGGGTTAAGTAAAACTTGTTATTATTACTAGAAAAAATTATATATTAAATTTAAATTTTACATGTTATAGAAAAGGAAAGAGAGAGACACATCAAATCAAAAGGGAAAACAACTAAAAAATTTTGGTGAAGTTGACGTTGTTAAAGATTATGATGATAGTGAACTCATAGTTGTTTCTGTTTATGAGCCCGTAGAAAACAAGAAGTTGATTCTTGATTTTGGTTGTACGTTTGAAATGTGTCCCAATCAAAACTTGATTTTGACATATAAATCGATATCTAAAGGTATGATGTTATAGGAGAATTATATCTCTTGTCAGATTGTTGGTATTGGTGTAATGGAGATTAAGATGTTCGTTGAAATTATCAGAACATTAGGTAATGTGAGACATGTATTAGACTTGAAGAGAAATTTGATTTTACTGAGTACTATGGACTCAAAAGAGTACAAGTACACTGTCTGAGGTAGAGTTGCGAGGATCAGTAGAAATTCTTTCGTAATGATGAAAGGACGAAAAAGTAGTCGAGTTTCATGTTTTAAAAGGTTCAACTGTTTTAGGTGATGTGACTGTTGTGGTCTCTCCCATTTCATATGGAGACATTACTATGCATTGACATGTGTGTTTAGATTTCACTTGAAACAATACATTAATAAATTAAAGTTTAGTTTTAAAAAGCGAAAAAGAGTTCAACTTGTTGCAGGGATTCATAACACCAAGAGTTCATACCACTACAACAAAATAGAGTTTTAGCGGCTTTTTTTAGTCCTATAGCGGCGTTTTTAAGCGCCGCTAAAAGCACTTGCGACGATAGGAAAAATGATGCAAGAAGCACCGGCCATACTAGCGCCATTAAAGTTAGCGGCGTTTGAGAACAAAAAATACCGCAATAGGTCAAGATTTATCGCGGCGTTTTTGGAAAAAAAACGTCTCAAAAGGTTGATATCTATAGCGGCGTTTTAGAACAAACGCCTCAAAAGGTCAATATTTATAGCGATGTTTTTGGAACAAACGCCGCAACATGTCAGATCTATAGTCGCGTCTTTGTATACAAACACCGCAAAAAGTCAGATCTATACCAGCGTTTTTTGATACAAACGTCATAAAAGGTCATATCTATTGCGGCGTTTTTTGATACAAATGCCGCAAAAAGTCAGATATATAGTGACATTTTTGGATACAAACGCCGCAAAAGGTTAGATCTATAGCGATATTTTTCGAACAAACGTCGTAAAAGGTCAGATCTATAGCGGCGTTTTTGGATACAAACGCCGCTAATTACCTTTCTTTAGCTTAGATTAATTGATTTTGCATATTTCATTTATGCTCTACATCACCTAAATTTACTATCATGTAGCTTTATCTAATTAACAACAACCATACATTTTAATTAAGACACAAGTTATGCAGAAAAATACTGAACAACAAAATAAATTAAAATTTATAAACATTGAAATTAAATGTAATGTAGTTTGACATTGTTTGCTAGAATTTAGTCTAGGTTCTTTCACTTTCAAATAAAAAAATATTGTTCACTAGAATTTAGTCTTCATTGCTCATTCGTGGGGAAAGGAAGTAAAAAACAGCTTTCCTTGTTTGACGAAGCATCGTTAAGTTTTTCCTCCGTGTAAATTGTATATGGAGAAACTCTTCATCCATTTCACCAAATAAATCCCCTACCTCCGGTTCACCAAGAAGACTCCTTGCGCGCTTCAATGCTTCACTTGAAACAGATAACGACCTTCCACCCACAGTATGAAACTTGATTGGATGTGGCTTGGGAACTGAATCAAACATTAAAAAAAAAGAGAAAAACGTTTACTTGGAGTAACAATAGAGGCAACGTCATCTTCATCAAGGATAGATAATGCTTTTGCAATTGAAGATTCTTTCAACGCCACAAATTTCCCCAATTCGCTTCTAAACATCAAGTATTTATCCACTCCTCTATCATCCTTCTCAATAAGCTTCGAACATCCTACATGCGTACGATCTATGAAATTTGAGAGTACAAAATAAAAATATAGCGGCAGAAGGATTAAGAGATTATTACCTTGAAGTAGGAGATCGGCCATGGAAGGGTATGGAGCAATAGGAGTTCCTTTTGGGTCATCATCTAGTTTCGAAGGCAAGAATGGACCGAAAGCCTCCCAACAATAATTTGATCCATCGTTAGAGCAAATACGCCACGTGGTCATTCCGACGATAATTTCTCTTACTCTATCTTTTTGTAAACTAGTTCGAGTGTTCACTTCCTTTCAGCATCATATGCAAAATGAGGCTGCGACTAATATAAAAAACATAGCTCCAGAAATGTTCAGACAAAATACGCTAGACAACTGTGAGAGTCATTTATCTTTCTTGGATAAACAAACCAATACTATTACAATTATCAATGCATGTCTCCTTGATACACAGACCTCACATATTCATATGTAAATGCATTCCCTCAAAACAAAATTCCCATTTAAAACCCATCCTCTTACATGCACATCTAACCCCTATAGACTCAGCCACAAACATGATTCCCTAATATAACCAAAAGCAATCAATTGAAAAGGTCAGATCCAACAAAATATATATAATCAATGCCTAGAATTATAGTTCACAGAAACCATTTTCCAGTCTACAGTATTTCATAAACCAATGGCACCACATGGTTTTAATTCTTT